TTCAAACCTCAGCCAGACTATAAATAGTACATTATTGTCCTCATGTTTCTCAGCAACCTCTAATTAATGAGATAAAGTTAATTATACAACCTTACATGCCCTCAATGAATCTGGATGCTTGCTGGCACAATTCAAATTTTTGTCCCTGATTAATGCTCCATAACTAACGTTACATTCCTCTTGAACAAAGAACAGCAGGAAATGTCAGCCTAAATGCATTAAATGCAGGAGAAGCGTCCAGATTCTACTCTGGTTTCCTATAAGTGTGTATGAGATAAGCGTGAGTCAGGTCTAGATGAAGGGCATCGAATCCAGTTAGAAGGGAGGGGGGAAAGCAGAAGGTATGGAATTTGTTTATTATTGAGGTTTTTTTTTGTTTAATTTTCTGAGCTTGAAAGTATTTTAAAGATAAAAGGATTGTTAACTGGTAAGAAGGAGCTAATTTTTTGTGGGGGATGAGATAAACAGAAATAAATAGAATCCATTACTGGATTCATTAGCTTTTAAAATTGGCTGTTTGCTAGGAATAAATTCCAAATTCCTTATTATCCTTTCCTATTTCTCTACACATCATCCTGAAAATAAGATTGCCAGGAATACCTTTAACCACGTTATGGTGGACTTCCGTGGTCTTAAGAACAAAGCTCAAGAACCGGCAGTTGGGATTATAATTTCCATCCACTCTTTGGATGCATATTAAAAGATTTGGGAAGGAGCTGAAAGATGCAGCAAATGATGTTCTCACAGCTAAATAAATTGTATTCACAAGAGACATTTGGTTTCTGGAAGCACGATCTGCACTTTCTGAATGGATAACTCCAGGATCAAGATGAGTTATAAGGACTGGGAAGAGTTTTTAAGTTTTGTCAAAGCATGGTAAACTTGATTTCAAAATCATTAAATGAGATCCTGTCACAGGCTGGAAGTTAAACTGCTGAAGTAAAGATTTAAAATGTCCATTATTTAGGAGGAGAAGAGTGGCTGTACTGGAACCTGTTACTTTTGAATGGAAAAATCTGAAAATCTGCTCCTAAAGTTTATTGCCTTTGTTTTCTTTTCACAAGGTCCCTTCAGAATAAATTATAGATCCATAAGGCTTGAAGGGACCACGAGGGGCTTCTAATCGAACCCTCTGCCCAAGGCAGGAGTCCTTATAACACCCCAGACAAAAGGCTGTCCAATCTTTTTCTTGAAAACTTCCAGTGCCGGAGCACCCACAACTTCTGGAGGAAACTTGTTCCACTGAGTAATTCTTCTCACTGTCAGGAAATTTCTCCTTAATTCCAGACTGGATCTCTCTTTCATGAGTTTCCACCCATGCATTCTTGTCTTGGCCTCCGGTGAGAAATAAATAATATAATATAATGAAATATAAAATAAAATAATAAAGAAATAAATAACAAATAAGAGTAAATAAAGAGAAATAAATAAGATGAACTTTTAAGTCGGGATAGAGCAGTGGTTCTCAACCTTTTTAATGCCGCGACCCCCAACCCCTCGTAAGTTGAGGACTACTCAACTGGTCGTAAGTCGAGGACTACTCAACTGGTGCAGCACCGTTTGCAGACTGGGACTTTTGGCGGGCTCAGCAGGGCAGAGACAGCCTGGACGATTCCTATTGGCTTTTGAAAGCCAATAGAATTAGACTCTATTCAAGAGAGTCTATTCTATTGGCTTTCAAAAGCCAATAGAATAAAAGGGAGTAGCACAGCTAAAGAAAAGGGGGAAAAAATGGCGGACTGCGTTGTTTGGCGACCCCCGTGAAATGGTCGTTCGACCCCAAATGGGGTCCCGACCCACAGGTGGAAAACCGCTGGGATAGAGGAAAGGAAAACAGGAAAGATTGAAAACAAATCATTTTAATGATTCGAATTTAGCAATTAGGGCGGGAGTCCCCAACCTGTGGGCCACGGCCCATTGCCAGGCTGTGGACCGCCGGCCACCGGGCAACAGAACAGGCTGGCCCGCGCGCACGCGCACTCACCCCCACTCGTGCTAGCACCATGAAAACGGGGCACCACATGGCGAAAATGGGCACCGCATAGCAAAAATGGGGCGGTGCTAGAGAGTGTCACACGGGCGCTAACACAGCCCCATTTGCATCGCGCTCACGGCCCTGTTTGTGTGGGGGCGCAACCATAAAATGCTTTCCCTCCGGTCTGCCAACTGAGAAAGGTTGGAGACCTCTCAACTAGGTAAGGACAAAAGGCCATCCACCTGAATTCTTAAGGCATTAATTTGATTACACTTTGAGAATTCCTGGCTTAAAGTAAGTAAAGGAACAAGAGTCATAAGGGCTGATGTTTACTGTCAATCACTCCAGCAGGGAGAAGCTACAGATAAATGCTTTCCAAAATCAATTTGTAACTCAAGAGGACATGGAACAACAAGATCTTTAATTACCTTGACATCTGCTGGGAGATGCACTCAGCTAAGCATGAGCTCTGCAGGTGATTGTGAATGTGCCTTGTTAACAACTGTATGCTTCAGAAAGCAAAGCGACACACAAGAGAAACAGAAGTCCTTGATTTGATATTAATCAGCAAGGGAGATTAAAATGGAAACTGCAGAAATGTCACCGGGAAACGACTATGTAATTCTGGAATTTTAGAATTTAAAGAAAACAAAACCTGTGTATACTCAAACGCATATCCTGGACTTCAAGAAATCAGATTTTAATCATTTTAAAATGAAGGATTCCATAGCATGAGAACTAATGGGGAATGGGGGTGGGCATTCCTTTAAAAAGGATATGGCCTAAAGACTCAGTTAGAAGCAATTCAAATCAGGAAAAAATAAGCCACCATTATGACTACAAAAAGCTTGATGGCAAATTGAAAATGGAAAGGACACAGGGTGGGACATGGCAGGAAGGACAGGCCATTAAGTAAATACAAATAGGTAAAGGTATCAGAGAAGCAAAAAGGACTTTACATATATTCTGAATAAATGGAAGAACAAAAAGTGACCAGTGATAACTGCAACCCCCTGACATTTGACAACAAAAACAAAAAATATTCAACTCTTATCTTGGCATTTTTCTCCTGAAAGACTGTATGTGTTCCATATGAGGAATAAGATGAAGCGACACATTTGAAGTCCTAAGTTAACAGAAACATGTCAGGGAAAACAAATATATTTTAAATGCGTTTAAACCACTGAGACCAGGGTGAACTGCATTCTATGGTGCTGAGAAAACGTAGAATAACCGGTATATGCCATTCCAAACACATGGCTGCTCAACCTCTTCTTGAAAATCTGCAGTGATGGAGTAGCCACGACTTATGGAGGCAAGCTGTTCCAGTGATTAGCTCAAAGTGTCAGGAAATTTCTCCTTAATTCTGGGTTGAATCTCTCTTTAATAACCCTCCACCCATTACTACTTATCCTGCCCTCAGGGGCTTTGGAGAATCGGCCGACCCCTTCTTCTTTGTGATAGCCTCTCAAGTATTGGAAGACTGCTATCATGTCACCCCTAGTTCTTCTTTTCGTTAGACTAGGCCAAAGGTAGGCAACCTCGGCTCTTTTATGACTCGTGGACTTCAACTCCCAGAATTCCTGAGCCAGCCATGCTGAGGGGAAAGGGAGAGGTTTCCAAACTGAGCCATGCTGCCTCAGGAATTCTGGGAGTTGAAATCCATGAGTCATAAAAGAGCCAAGGTTGCCTATCCCTGGACTAGACGTAGCTCAGTGATGGTGAACCTTTTAGAGACCGAGTGCCCAAACTGCAACCCAAAACCCACTTATGTATCGCTGGGTGCTGGGTGGGTGTGGCCCACTCGGGTGCAGCTACAGTGGACGTGGCAGATGGGTGGGCATGGCCACTGGATGGGTGTGGCTGCAGTAGTCATGGCAGACTAGATGGGCATGGCCTGGGTGGGCGTGGCCACCTCAATATTGCTTATGGGGAGGGACACCTTTGGGAGCTGGGCAGGATTGGGGCAGATCCAGGGGATCTCTGCCGGGTGGGATGGTGGGCTCCCCAGTGGCGGCTCCAGGCTGGCTGGCCTTAGACCAGTGATGGCGAACTTTTAGAGACCACGTGTGCTGGGGTGATGGCGCGTGCCCACAGAGAGGGCTCCGCCTGCCATAGGTTCGCCACCACTGACATAGCTAGTTCCTGCAACTGTTCTTCCTATGTTTTAGCCTCCTGATCATCTTTGTTGCTCTTCTCTGCACTCTTTCCAGAGTCTCAACATCTTTTTTGTATCGTGGTGACCAAAACTGGACACAGTATTATTCCCCGTGCATTGACGATCTCCTGAACATTTTAACTGTTATCTTTACAAATTTTGGGGAAAATGCCAGGGTGACTGGGGAAGACCACCTGCCGTACTTAACTTCAAAAATATAAGAGGATTCAAATCAGTCTGACACTGATACCTAAGAAGAAGAGTGGATATTTTTGAAGACAAAATTTCAATCTGCTTGAAAATAACAGCAATTCCTGGAAGTTGGAATGATGAGACCAGACACCGAACTTACCAAGCTAAATTATTTGACAGGTTGGGTGTATCCTCTCCCACGAAGAGCAATTTAGAAAGAGAATCAAAGAGGTGCTACCTGAATAAACTCATGATAAAAGGTGGCTAAAACACCCAGTTTTCCAGGATTCTATACCTAAAGCCTTTCATCCCTTCGAAAAATTCTGAGATTCTACCCTGATCTGTTCTGAGTGGCTGATAAAGATGCTGACAGGTAGGATGTGCAAGATCTGACAGGTGGGATGTGCAAAACTTCTTTAGTTACTCAAATAAGAGAGTCAGAAGCATTTTCTTGCACCAGGTAAGGACAGGTCTGTGGTGTCCCTGGTGCTTCCCTGAGCTTGGCTGTTTGCCTGCAGACATCTCATTACCCAACTAGATACCATCAATGCTACACTCTGTTACCCGGTCATGTCATGAAACGTCTGCAAGAAAAGATCACCAAGGTCTGCACAATTCAGCCAGGAGCTACACACATCTTTTTCCAATGGAAAGACAGGTCTCTGCTTAGCTTACCTTCACGAGGATGTCAGCCAGCCTTGTGTATCTGTAGCGGATGAAAACCCCAAGGCCGATAGGGAGCAGAGTGCTGCACAAGGTCAGGGTGACAGCCCCCAGAGGCAACAGGCGCACGAATGGGGTGTTGATCCAAGCTCGGCTATAGATCCACAGACAAAGAGGCATCAGGAACAAAGCCAGCACGATGGAGGAGGCAGTCATGATGATGCTGTCAGGAAGGAAAGAAAGAAGATAGCAGTGGGTCGAGCACATAGGATAAGGGGCATCCTGAAGGAGCTTCTCTCCTTCCACTTTTTCTAAATGGCCCAGTTGCTCTCACTAGCAAGAAGGAGCTAGTAAAGCAGGCTCTCCTTTTCTGCGTAACCTCTGTGCCACCTATGTCCAACTCCGGTACGCTCTGCAAAGGAGGAGTGGAGGCAGCCATTTTTCAAAAGGGGAAAAAAAATGTATTTTGCTCAAAACCAATGCTTAATATTGGCCCTCATAGTAAATATTAGTTGCCCTACTGCAGGGGGTCTTCAAACTTGGCCCTTTTATGACTTGTGGACTTCAACTCCCAGAATTCCTCAGCCAGGCACGCATGCCTGGCTGAGGAATTCTGGGAGTCGAAGTCCACAAGTCATAAAAGGGCCAAGTTTGAAGACCCCTGCCCTACTGCATGTCTCTGGTGAAAGTTTTACAGAGGGGCACTGCCTCCGTTTCCAGTACTCGCTTTTTCTTCCTCTTGTTCCCTAGAAAATATTTTTGCTTCGACCAGCTCTGGGAACATTATTTTCCATCTGGTAGGACTGTGGTTGACCATTACAATCACACTGGAAGTCTCCCAATCTTTTTTTATATTTAAAAAAAAAAACCATTTACCATTCAAGATATTTCAATCCTAGTTTTCCCATCCCAAAAGGATAAAAGATGAGAGCAATAATAGCACATTAGCGAACTACAAACAATCAGAAAGAAAACATTTCAACAGAGAGAGAGAGAGAGAGAGAGAGAGAGAGAGAGAGAGAGAGAGAGAACAGGCGAGAGAAGCACCAGCTTAGCAATTCACAAAAAATAGATAATAGGAGAAAGACTTCTTATCTGAGGCATCTCCTCCCTTACTCATTTGTCCTATTTTCACTGATATTTCATTTGTTTGGGAAAAGGCAAGAGGCCAGGAGTAAAATATGCAAAACCCAAATCCATAACGTTCTGGGTAATATTTGGCAGGGCGCTTCCAGTATTCAACAAGGGATGCGTTTCCAGTGGGAAAGCACTTTTGAAAGAAGCATCAACCTTATCCTTGTTCGAACAGACAGCTCCTATCCCAAACTCCCGGTACCTAGGCATCTTGTTCCTGGATTTCCTCTCTGGAAAAATGTGGGAAAGACATTCACAGGTAGTCCTCAACTTACGACCAATTCAGCCCCCGCAAAAAAAAAACATGCTGTTAAGTGAGATTTATTGAATTTTGCTCCATTTTATGACTTTTGCTGCCATATTTGTTAAGCGAATCGCCTAAGCGCCTAAATAATGAGGTTGTTAAGCGATCTGGCTTCCCCAGTGACTTTGCTTGTCTGAAGGGGGCAAAGGGGAATCACATAACACCCTCCCAGGACGCTGCAACTGTCCTAAATTCGAACCATATGTATAGAATAGAGCTGGAAGAGACCTAGTCCAGCTCCAACCTGCTCAAGCAGGAGAACCTATACCAGTGGTGGTGAACCTATGGCACGGGTGCCAGAGGCAGCATTCAGAGTCCTCTCTGTGGGCACACTCGCCATGCCCCGGAGATGGCAACTGTTCCTCTTCAACCAGCCGCCCGCTAACTCGCCGAGGTCCGACATGGCCGGATGCATCCCAGCACCCATGCGCTCGCTGGCCTCTGTGTGCAGGGGCTGATGGTGTCAGGCAGCAGCCGCCCTGCCTCACCTTGCCCTGTGACAATGGCACCCCCACCCTGCCTCGCCTCACCTCGCAGGACGAGCCTCCTGCCCACCGCCCCACCTGCCAGAGACCCCCTGGATCTCCCCCAACCCTGCCCGGCCCCCACGGCGTCCCTCCCCACGAAGCAACATCGAGGTGATCACACCCACCTTAGCCACACCCACCCAATCTGCCATGACCGCCACAGCCACGCCCCCCCAGTGGACCACGCCCCCCTGGTACCCGGCGATAAATAAGTGGCTTTTGGGTTGCAGTTTGGGCACTCGGTCTCTAAAAGGCTCGCCATCGCTGACCTATACCATTTCAGACAAGTGGCTGTCTAGCCTCTTGTTAAAATCCTCCAATGCTGGAGCGCCCACGATTTCTGGTGGCAAGCTGTTCCACTGGTTAATTGTGCTCACTGTCAGGAAGTTTCTCCTTAATTTCAGGATGCTTCTCTCTCTGGTCAGTTTCCAACCATTGTTTCTCATGCTTCCCTCTGGTGCTTTGGAGAATAACGTGACCCCCTCTTTTTTGTGGCAGCCCCTCAAATACTGGGACACTGCTATAATGTCTCCCCTATTTCTTCTTTTCTTTCGACTACTAGCCAAACCCAAGTCCTGCAGCCAGTTCTTCATAGGCTTTAGTCTCCAGGCCTTTGTCAAAGCATCCAAATGTAACTCAGGGGACCTTGGGGAATGCAGCCACCACTTTTTTCCCAGTCTCCTTGTAACTTCCAACGGTCCCCAAAACGTAAGTCGAGGACTCCCCGGGAGCGTCACCGTTCTCCTCCCGATCCCTTAGCGCAGTGTTTCCCAAACTTGACAATTTTAAGGCATGAGGACTTCAACTCCCAGAATTCCACAGCCAGCAACGCTGGCTGTGGAATTCTGGGAGTTGAAGTCCTCATGCCTTAAAATTGTCAAGTTTGGGAAACACTGCGGCTTAGCAAGATGCGCCTCCCGTTTTGGCAGCCGCGCAACCCTCAGGATCGGCCAGCGCGGGGCGGCTTCTCTTCCGCCCGGCGGGCGCTACACCTTGTGGCACGTCCGACGGCCGTTCGGTGCGACAGAAGAGCGAAAGCCACGACGGTTCTTCCCCCCCCCCCAACCCACCCGCCTGCTTCCCGGTCTCCCCCCGCGCCCACCCGCCTACCTGAGGTTCATGTCTCCGTCGACCAGGAGGGTCATGAGGTTGGAGAGGTTCCCGCCGGGGCAGCAGCCGCAGAGCAGGACGGCCACGGCGGCCACCTCGTCCAGGGCGAAGAGCAGCGCCAGCAGGAAAGCCAGCAGGGGCATCAGCCCGAACTGGCAGAGCAGCGCCAGCAGCAAGCCCAACGGCCGCCTCAGCTGCGCGCCCAGCTGGCTCAGCTCCACCGTGCAGCCCAGGCCCAGCATGGTCACGCACAGCGCCAGCCCCACCAAGACGCTCAGCCCCTGGTTCAGCGGCCCGTCCCAGAAGGGCGCCTCGACGACGCCTCCCGGAGGGGACAAGCCCGGCACCCACGACGGAGCCGGGCCGGGACCGGACGTCGCGTTCCCGCGCCCCTGGCCGAAAGGCAGGAGACGCCAAGCGGCCGTGCGGTTGTCTGGCGCGGCGGAGCTGTCCATGGCGGCGGGTGTGGGTGTGGGTGCGCTTATCCGTGGGCGCGTCCGCCTCGTTCGGGGGTGGGCGGGCGGGCAGGCGGGCGGGCGCTCTTCGTAGAGCTGGACGGGAAGCGCCCGGGGAAGGAGTAGCGAGTCCCCTCCGAAGTGAAGCTGCGGAGAACGCCGCGTCCTGCCAGACGCCGCTCCGTCCGTCCGTCGCCTCAGCGCCGCGCCTGTCTTCCTCCGTCCGTCCGTCGCCTCACCGCCGCCGCCTTCGTTTTCCAACGGGCGCGCCCCCGAGGAGGCCGTTGGGCGCCACCCGCCCAGCCCCGGGCTCTGCCCCCACCCCGACGCCGCCGCCGTCCGAGGGTGGATTTCTGGCCTCCCTCTGCGCCTCTCCGATAAGGAGCAAGGCCCCTCGCGCCTTCTGAGGCAGCCGAAGCCCCGCGTGGGAAAGGGGCGAGCTTTATGGAAGCAAAGCGAGCCCATTTTCGGGATTTGAAGGGCAACTGCGACCGTGTCAGATAGCTCCCTATCTTGGGCTTCAGAAAGCGGCTTTCCTAAACCGAGCGTGCCTCGTAGCAAGAGAAAACAATGGGGAAAGGAGACGGGGTGGGGTGGGGAGGGGGAGTCGGAGTCGTTGAAAGCACAATTGTTCGGAAAATGGAGGAGAAAGGAAGAGAAGAAGCGACCCCAAAATCTTAGGGGAGACTTGGAAAAACAAAAAGGTGACAAAAGAAGAAGCCCGGAATTGGGAACTTTTTGAGAATGAACCGAGGTTGGTGGAGGAATAAAAAGAACTTCAAATAACGGTCAAGTTAAAAGAAAAAAAAAAATGCAATACCAACTGCTCACGGGGAGGCAATGCTAGAAATGCAAAGTTCCTCTTTTGGTCCATCCTCTGTGACAAAACAAAACAAAAACAAAATGTCTTCCTCCAAGAAATTGTGAAGGACTAGGATTGCAGAAAGAAGATCAGAAAATGCGTCTTCACTTTAAATGAGATCCACTCTCCAGGACCAGATTAATGGTATCTTCCAGAAGTGAACAAACGGGCTTGATGGTTTGGCCAAACCTTGTAAAGCAGTGGTTCTCAACCTGTGGGTCGGGACCCCATTTGGGGTCGAACGACCATTTCACGGGGGTCGCCAAACAAGGCTGTCCGCCATTTTTCCCCCCCTTTTCCTTAGCTGTGCTACTCCCTTTTATTCTATTGGCTTTTGAAAGCCCATAGAATAGACTCTCTTGAATAGAGTCTAATTCTATTGGCTTTCAAAAGCCAATAGGAATTGTCCAGGCTGTCTCTGCCCTGCTGAGCCCACCAAAAGTCCCATTCTGCAAATGGTGCTGCACCAGTTGAGTAGTCCTCGACTTACGACCGGTTGAGTAGTCCTCGACTTACGACCGGTTGGGGGTCGTGGCATTAAAAAGGTTGAGAACCACTGAAATAGATAAACAGGTACCACTTTGATGGGAAGTAACAGCGTTCCGTGTTTCACTGCACGCTCTGCATTGTGGCATTATGTCATGCTGGCCATATGACTGTGGAAACATCTTCGGACGGTTGAGTAGTCCTCGACTTACGACTGGTTGGGAGGTCAGGGCATTAAAAAGGTTGAGAACCACTGTTGTAAATGATCTTCTGCAAAACATCAGCAATGCTCCATGTTAATCCCACTCTGGAAAGAATGTGAATTATTTTGAAATAAGGATGGTTGAACGGGGCGGCCAAAATAGTTCTTCCAATTCTATGTTTCCGATTAAAAGGTGTTATCCGCGGTTTGTAGAGTCTTCCTTTTTAAGACTGACAGGGAAAAGGGTCAACTATGATTTTTCTGCAGCAAGTCTCCCCCCCCCATTATATCCAACACGATTGTCCCTATACAAAGATGCATGGCACTACAGCCTTAAGCATAAAAGACATTAAAAGCTCAGCATATGGAAATGGATGAGTGCTTTTGACCTATGCTGAGACTGAAAAATGGACAAGCTTAGGGGTGGAAGGCCACATCCTTGTCAGTTTCGGAGTTAAACTCTGCATGTTCCATTCGCAGGTGATGGGGAAGACTTTTTATCTGATGTGCTGGAGAACGACTGAGGCAAAAGGTGAAGCAAATTGGATAACTTAATGGATAACTTGCATAAGGTACTCTTCGTTTATTCCCTCCCAAAGTACAGGTATTCCTCGACTTAACAACCACAACTGAGCCCAAAATTTCCGTTGCTAAGTGAGACGTTCGTTAAGTGAATTTGTCCCGTTCTACGACCTTTCTTGCTGCAGTTGTTAAGTGAATCACTTCATTTGTTAAATTAGTAACACGGTTGTTAAATTAATCTGGATTCCCCATTGATTTTGCTCGCCAGAAGGTCACAAAACGGAATCACGTGACACCGGGACACTGCCGCCATCATAAATATGAGTCAGTTGCCAGACATCCAAATTTTGATCACATGACCACGGGGGATGCTGCAACGGTCGTAAGTATGAAAACCAGCCATAAGTCACTTTTTCCAGTGATGTAACTTCGAATGGCCATTAAACGAACTGTCGTAAATCAAGGACTATCTGTAGTGGAGAGCTTCAGTAATAAGAGTTTAAGCTTCACGTGTCAGGACTGCAACTTCACACTTCAGTCTTCCCTTTATTGCAATTTAATTCCACACATCTGAGGATGAACTCTCTGAAGTTTGGGAGAGGTCTTTCCTTTAGGCCAGTGGTTCTCAATCTGTGGGTCAGGACCCCATTTGGGGTCGAACGACCATTTCACGGGGGTCGCCAAACAACGCAGTCCGCCATTTTTTCCCCTTTTCTTTAGCTGTGCTACTCCCTTTTATTCTTGAATAGAGTCTAATTCTATTGGCTTTCAAAAGCCAATAGGAATTGTCCAGGCTGTCTCTGCCCTGCTGAGCCCACCAAAAGTCCCATTCTGCAAACGGTGCTGCACCAGTTGAGTAGTCCTCGACTTACGACCGGTTGAGTAGTCCTTGACTTACGACCAGTTGGGGGTCGCGGCAGTAAAAAGGTTGAGATTTGATACTTAACAGATGAAGTTACATGTTACAAGATTGTTGTAATCTTTTTCTTCTGATCCTTCATATATTTATGTTGTGCAATGATTATATTAAAATACAAAAGGATCTTTCTGTCAAGAATATTTCCAAGGTGGCATAGCGAAGGGGTTTTGAGGAACAGACAATGGGTCCTGGGGATGGATGGGTGGGGGGAGACACAAACTGGGTTTGAAAAAGTTCAACATAATGAATTGCAAAAACTGCTAAATAAAGATAGAGGGATATTTGAGAAACATTAAATGTAACTACAGATCTTGAAAGCTCTTGGAGCTGTAAATAAATAAATGCAATTCCAGCTCACTGTAGGGAAATCTTTTTGAAAAACAGAATAGTAAATTCAAGTATGAAAATCTATCTATCTGTCTATCTATCTATCTATCTGTCTGTCTGTCTGTCTATCTATGTTAAATCTGGATTGCTAACAAAGACTTAAAAGGAAGCTTGTATAGCTATTTCAAGCTTCTTAGCTCTCATCAGATTTCTTCTTCCCATATTTGGGCTGACCAAGTGCATCATAAACACACACACACACACACACAGACACCCATTAAATTAAGAAATTTAACATATTAATTTCTCTTTAAATGCTATAAGACAGTGGTTCTCAACCTGTGGGTCGGGACAGGTTGAGAATAGAGTCTAATTCTATTGGCTTTCAAAAGCCAATAGGAATTGTCCAGGCTGTCTCTGCCCTGCTGAGCCCGCCAAAAGTCCCATTCTGCAAACGGTGCTGCACCAGTTGAGTAGTCCTCGACTTATGACCGGTTGAGTAGTCCTTGACTTATGACCGGTTGGGGGTCGCGGCATTAAAAAGGTTGAGAACCACTGCTTTAGGACCTTTCTTAGAGTAAGGGAGATTTGACATAGGAATGTACACAAGATATTAAAAACGTGTTGTATCTGACATGGGATAAACTACAGATACTCCTCAACTTGGAATAGAATAGAGCTGGAAGGGACCTTGGAGGTCCTCTAGTCCAGCTCCCTGCTCAAGCAGAAGGACCTGTCCTATACCATCCCAGACAAGTGACTGTCCAGCCCCTTCTTAAAAATCTCCAGGGCACATGCCCTTCCCTTTCAATTTCTGTGCAGTGTGAAGACTTAAGCATGGTCCACATTTCAGTAATCTAAAATCACTGGGCATTACTGCCAAACGTCTACGATTTTTCTTGTAGTGGGGGGGAATCGCAGAGAGTAATTACTATTTCTTTTTGCAATATGAAATAGCGATGCTTGATTTCATAATTATTCCTCACAAAGCAGGTTGAAAGTTGATCTGCAGCTATCCTCACTCAAGCAGACTTCAGAACCACATTAGATGTGTTTACACGGGAGAAGGAATAATGTTTTTCTCTGTATGCGGAACTCTTGTGGTTATAAGCCTTATTTATTCATCACCAATATCCCATCTGATTTACTGTAATCTAGTAGGTAGGAAGCAGTACCAAATGTCTATGGCCGTGGTGGCGAACCTATGGCACGCGTGCCACAGGTGGCACGCAGAGCGCTCTCTGTGAGCACGCGCACTGTTGCCCCAGTCCTGGGCCTTCAGCTGAGTTTTATAAAACCTTTTCGCTTTAGGCCTCCACTGCCATGTGCAAAAAAAAAAAAAAAAAAGTTTCAATCAATCAATCAATTTCAACTTCTCACGGGTGAAAAAAAAGATCTCGCAAAATTGGAATTGATTGATTGAACTTTTTAGTCCCTCCCAGTCTGCTGTTACCGTCAAAGCCATGCCCACCCAAAGGGCCATGCCCACCCAATTGGTCACACCCAATGGGCCACACCCACCTGGCACCCGACGATGCATAAGTGGGTTTTGGGTTGCAGTTTGGGCACTCGGTCTCTAAAAGGTTCGCCATCACTGGTCTATGGAGATTCTCAGTCATTCAGGTGCTGGTTGCCCCATTCCCCACCATCCAGTCAGAGCTGAAGAAGCTTCTTAGATGAGAAGCGAAACGTCTTCAAAGAAAAACAAGAAAGTCCAGTTGTCTCCTGAAAAAAGCAGTTTTGGTATGACAACAGACCAAACATGGGATTTTGATTGACCAGGTCATCTGTAACCATCAACTTCAGTCACTGTTATTTTTGTTAAACTTTTCTCAAGATCAGAAAGTCAGAAGCTGATAAATTGACACAGGATGTTGATTTGTTAACCGAGAAGTCACCATTTATTTCCGGGATTTATTTATTTATTTTTAATACTGGATTTCTAGCTCAACTATTTTTCATTCATTTGTGACAGATATAAATCAGATTGATTTAGGAGGGCAACAAACACTTGCCAAAGCCTTGTAAAAAAAAATATCCAATTTATTTTCTGCAGTGTGTATGCACTTTAATTTCCTTCCTTGTATACGGGCACAAAAGAAATGTAATACAACATACAAGATATTGGGCTGAAACTCAAAAATCCGTGTCGAGATTTTGCCTTCAGCCCAGAGTTATTTTTTTGAAAGTGGGGGGGGGGAAAGGCTGTATCGTTCAATGTCAGTTTCTTGACTACATAACGAAAGTATCCCGTGCTCAGCAGGTAAATGACACAAGGATGAACACAATCAAACAGTTCCTTGCAAATTCAAAGTTCTACTGTTTCTTCTCCTCTGCCTGCACTGTTGCCTTTCGTTTCAGGTGGTCTGTTCATTATCTTTCATCATCCTATTTTATTTTATTATTATTTCTTGTTTCCCTGGTTTTCATTCAATCTTTAGTAAAGTTTCTACTCTCTCTCAATGATTGATATTTACACATCTCCCTGTGAGTGGTTAGATTTCAAGTTATTATTTTGCTCTCATTCTGATTTTTGGTTTTTTGCAGTTTCTATGTTTATTTCTGTTTTTCTGGGTTTATTAGCTACCAGGTTATGGTTCCTGATTTTGAGATTTTTCTCCTCCTTTTCCTCCTCCTCCTTCATTACCGTATTTTCCGGCGTATAAGACGACTTTCTAAACCATGAAAATCTTCTCAAAAGTCGAGTGTCGTCTTATACGCCGGGTATAAGGGGACAGCCTGGTGACGGAGGAGGAGAACCAGCACAGGATCTAAGCAGCTCACCGTTTTGGAAGGAAGAGTGAGCTGCAGATCCTCCGGCGACTGTTCTGGGCACTGGAGCAGCAAAAGGACGATTCCGGATGCCATTAGACGCTGCGCATGCGCAGATACGCTGCCACGCCTGCGCAGAAGAAGGACAAGCCATCAAACAGCTGACGAGCGGCAAGCCGGTGAACAGCTGATGGGCAGTAGGCGACAATTATGATTAACAGTCAAGGGGGTACCATATTGAAATCAAATCTGATGTTTTTTAATATTTATTTGGTGTGCGTTGGAAGAGGGGTAGTCTTATACGGCGAGTATAGCCCAAACTCTATATTTTAACTGGAAAACTTGGGGGTTGTCTTATGCGCCCAGTCGTCTTATATGCCGGAAAATACGGTACTAATATCCATTAATAGCAATACTTTATCTCTTGGCTTCTTAGATTATTGAGCTTTCATTTCAGAATCATCTGATTATACCCAGCGCAAATGTTCTTTTCACGTCCTTTATTTTATACTAAAATCATCTGTTATCGTTCAGCTTCCTGTTCTCGTTTTTTGATAGTTCTCATCTTCCTCTTCTATTACCTTAAAAACGTACGTTTTCTTTGCTCAATTTCCATATCTATTCCAGTTAAGTCTTGTACATTTTTCTAGATCATTTCTAATGATTCAACTCAACACTATACACTATCCTTAACTCTTTTACTAGTTTCATTTTGTGCTGATTGTGCTTTATGTAATTATGTCATACTTTTTTTAGTGGCTTCCTCTATTGTTTCTTAGGAAATATAAAATTCCTCTAGCCTTTTAAGTCTTCCTTTCCTTGCTTTGCTGCATCTACCTCAACTGGTTTTTTTCAATTCTCCTTTTAATAATAATTAGAATAGAGCTGGAAGGGACTCTGGAGGTCTTCTAGTCCAGTCCCCTGCTCAAGCAGGACTCCTGGCCTATATCATTTCAGATAAGTGGCTGTCCAGTCTCTTCTTAAAAACCTTGAGTGAAGAAGCACCCACGTATGAAGGCAAGCTGTTCCACTGGTTAATTGTCCTCACTGTTAAGAAATATCTCCTTAATTCCAGGTTGCTTCTCTCCTTGATTAGTTTCCATCCGTTGTTTCTTGTCTTGCCCTCTGGTGCTTTGGAAAATAAATTGACCCCCTCTTCTTTGTGGCAGCCCCTCAAATATTGGAACATTGCTATCACATCACCCCTAGTCCTTTTTTTCTCTAGTCTGGCCATTCCCAAATCCTGCAACTGTCCTTCATATGTTTTATTCTCCAGGCCTTTAATCATCGTAGTTTTTTTTTCTTTTCTTCCTCCTCTCTCATTTCATTTACCAATAATTAATATCTTAAATCAGTACTTCTTT